TATTAATTTATGATCTGGGTGTTGTCTGAATACATTTACTTATTTTTGTTTTTTAGGTTGTCTTAAATTCGTTGCATGTGGAAATTGGGAGGAGGACTACAGTACTTAGGATTGGATGGAAAGAAAAGTTCATTTTCATTTGATGTAAGCAAAAGTTCATTAATCAACACACGTTCACCTTAATAATCAACTAAACTTTTTTTTTTATATATAAAAAAATTATTGTTGTTTCTTCTTCTACAGGTAACAAAGAGAGCAACATACTATGAGTTGACTACTGTTGAGGAAACTAATTTCCTTGAAGCCTGTATATTGACGTACATTCTCTTGCTAATGCTGTATGTAAGAATAAGTATTTTTTAATTTTTTTTAGCGAGGGTTGGTAGGAAATCTTTTATATACAATAGTACTTGTTTTATGTTTAAAGACTAAACTAATGAACCACTATGAAATATATAATTTATAGTTAAATAAATACTTTGGTTTATAGTTATATGTCATAAGGCTTTCCAGCTAACCGAATTAACTGGAAAGACAATGTTAGCATAGGTGCATATGAATGCACTTGTAAGTGGTGAGCTGGTGATTTTGATATGCACTTATGCTAACATTGCCTTTATCAGTTGCACCGAATTCCAACTCGTCAATACAATTTCTCCTGTTCACGTTCACCACTGCATTTTTTTTCCTTTCCTACCTTAAAGCCCACAGAACATGTCATGTCCCACCATTCCACCACCTTAGCCACATGCCTCCCTGCCTCAAATCATCAAGCAAAAAAGTAGTGGTCTTAAAATCCAACCTCCCATAATCTTCCGTGTTCAACCTATAGAAATCTTCTTTTAAATAACTTTCTTTCTTTCTCTTCACCAGCTAAAAGCCTGCAGACCGCATCACATGCTCGATCCTGACAAATTTTTTTTTACTTGCGGAATATCTTACATGTTTATAAATGAATTTCTCTAAAATTTATTAATATTTATTCTAGCNGCAATCGATATATATTTTTTTTAATAACATTTTTTCTTTTTCTCTTAACCAGCTAAAAGCCTGCAAACCGCATCACATGATCGATCCTGACAAATTTTTTTTTACCTGCTAAATATCTTTCATGTTTACAAATGAATTTCTCTAAAACTTACATATATTTATTTTCAACATTAAACAACTAACATGCAACACACGTAAACCACACTAGTTTTTAAAAAAAATTGGGAGTATAGCAATTGATTTTTTGCTTCTCTTTTATTTTATTTAAATACAAAGGTATATTTGTCATTTCAAAAAAAAAATTATAGAGAAAATTGATAGAGTACTTAGCACATAACGTCTCCACCTTTTATTATTATTATTGTCCCCACAAAAATTAATTGCAACTATAGTCCCAAATTTTTTTTAAAAGTGTAAATGAGTCCTAAATAAATCATTTAAAAATTAGAATTTAATTTTTTAAAAAAAGTGCAAATGAGTCCCAAATAAACTATTAAAAAAAAATTATTTTTAAAAAATTATTTTTCTTCAATTTTTTTAAACATGATGGTATATTTATCATTTCATAGCTATTTATTGAAAAATTGGATAAAAATGGATAGAAATGATGGTTTGCGCAATCAAATATGAAATTAAGGGTGAAATGTTAAAAAAAAAAATGAAAGGTATGTACGTTTCCCTCTAATCATAGTGAAAGGTATGTATATTATGTACTAGTTACCCTTTTAATAATTTATTTGAGACTCATTTGTTCTTTTTTAAAAAAATTGAGACCATGATTACAATTAGTTTTTTCCTTTTATTTTTGTTCTATTTAAAGAGAAATGGTTATTCATCATTTTCCAATTTTTAATTGAGAAAATGGATGAAAATGACCTTTTGCGCAATGAAATGTGAAAATAATGGTGAAAATGCCAAAAAATGAAAGGTAAGAACGTTTTCTACAATAATAGTGAAAGATGGAGATGCTACATGCTAATTACTCATTGATAAAAATGATGATTTTGATAATAAAAAGTGTAAATAGGGATAAAAATGCAAAAAAAGAAAAAAAAAAAAGATTGGTGCAGACGATTTATACAATGAACTTTAAACGTATGAACGTTTTGAGTTAATAACTATTTTCTTTTTATAGATTTAAAATGTTTTCACTATCATTTCAAACTAGATAAAAACTTTGTTAATTGAACGGACTAATTCAGATCAAGGATACTTATAGTACTAGATGGCTTCCACAAGTACTCTTTTTACAAAGGAACAAGCCAGGGTTTCAAAGTTATATTACAAAATTAAAATTTTTTCATTAGAATGTCCTCGAGCCACATTTTCTAAATGAATCAAAGCCAATTCGAATTGATATTGTAAAAGATTTGATAAAGAACGAATACGTTTATTTTCGAAGGATTCATATCACACTCAAGTGGACGATGTGAATCACGTGATTATGGCTGATTTTAAATTTCAACAAACGTACCCACTTACTCTAATTTAGGA